GTGACTGCTTTAGAAGTCTGAGGAAACAACAGATAAACGTACGTTTTGATTAGCCAAATTAATGGTTTTAATGTCAGTTGGGAGAGATGAGCAGATTTTTATTCAACATTTAGGTGCCTTTGTGTTGGTGCCAGATGAGATTTAAATGTTTTTCAAGCTTGATGTTCTCAGGAAAGGAGGTTCATTTAGTGTTTGAAGCAACAGTGAAAACTTGGCATTTTAGCTAATTTTCATTTAACATTATTTTGCTGTTTTCTAAGTATTGAAGATATTTCTTGTGATGGGTAATGCAACATCTRCACAAAGTAACACAGATGAAAGCTTTCTTGTAATTAATATTCTTGATCACTTTGAGGCAGTAGCGCTTCCTGTTTCTCAATATAAATCTCATGTGGTTTTTGTCTCAAAGTACTAACTGTACTTTCAAACTAAGGTACCCTTTGAACAGTAACACCAAAACAGAGCAAAATCTTTATATTGCATGAATAATAGTATTTTTTGCAAAGTTATATTATATATATATATATATATATAACATATATTTTGGGCTGGTAGGTGAATTTGAAAATGTAGGTGTACGCCAAAGTTTCTCCCCACAGCCTTGTTTAAATGTATATGTATTTTTTTTTTTCAAATCTAAGCTAAAAAAAATAACTAAAGCCTGTATTGTGTTAATAAAACTTGGTAGATGCTAAAATGTTGGAAAAGGGCTAAAATTATGGGCCATTGATTAATATTACCAAATTTGTGCTCCAGTGTTGAGGCTAAATCAAGGAAAGTATGAGATTTTTCTTTAGGACTACAACGATTAATCGACGACTAATCGATTATTAAAATAATGACTAATTTAATAATCGATTAATCGTTTTTTTTTTCTTTGTTTTTCTCTCCAAACTGCTTTGACACCTTCCACTGCCACATCTGCCTTTCTGTCCTTGACACACATGCACAGTAGTGGTAACTGGGGTAGGCAGTGGACGTCACAGGTAGGGCTACACCGACTAGCTGAAATAATCGATGACGTCGATTATGTAAATTTGTTGACGCATATTTTTTATTGATTCGCTGTATTACATAACCACCACGTGAATGTTCATGCAATTCCATTTCTGTACTTAAAAGCATCATTGCGACCGTATTGGCATAATAGTGGTGAGTTTTTATGAAAATATTACAATTACAATAATATTACAATTACAGAAAATTTTACAATATTAAAGAACTGTTTTTGTTAATTTGATGAAAACATTTTAAATTTCCAGTGCACTCACATCAGAATAACTTATAGATTTGTTG